GAAAAAAAGGGGGGGGGGGGGGGGATTTCCCTCAATTTCTTACATCAGATTGCATTAATGGGACGTCAATTTCAAAGCTTTTGGGGACAAGGCATCTGGGGAAGAAGGAGAAGGGCAATTTCGAGTTTTTTCAAAATACAATCCATTTTGAGTATACTGCTGACGTGGAGGGGCCTTGAAATATTAAACGGTACTTTTTTGGATGATCCACATGGGCCAAAATACAAGGGGCCGGGTCACATGGAATCCCTACTTTTGCAATTTTCTCTTTATTTATAGTAATTGAATAATCATATAGGAGGATGACATACCTTCTTCTACAATCAAATTAACTTCTTTAAACAAACAATGACAACAAATATTTATAACTACGATTAAGAAATGTGTTTTAGAGTATAATGTACATAACTTTATAGAAATAATAATTTTTTATATTAAAAATAGGGACCTAAAAAAGAGAAAATAGTTTACTAAGGTAGATGGTTAATGGAAAAAATATACATTGTACAAACAATAAGAAAATAATTTATACACAAACAATAAGATGGATAGTCATAATGGGCGAAATCTGAATGAATTTCTTATCATGTTTTGTGTGGAATCAACTTTATTTGGCCTAACTTCTAAATTTAAAAAAAAAAGAAAAAAATAACTTCAGGATAACAACTTACCTGATTAAAAAAACCAGTTTCATCGTACCAACTTCCATGATTAAAAAAAAGAGCTTTGAAAATTAAATAACAACACACATTTGTAGGAAGATGAGAAAATAAAAACTAAGGCCAATATATCTTAAGTTTAATTGATTGTTATATAGTAAATTATCAAAACTACGTTAAGACAAAAACTATATTCACACATAACCTGGTGAGTTGTTTTAATCATTGAAAAATGCAAACATCGAAAACAAAGGGAACAATATAAATAGATGGAAATTAAGTAAATGGGTCTTGAGAACACTCATAGTTACAAATTGAAATTTAGCACAAATATCTACTATGCAGAAAGATTACACTTCAAGAAACAACAGAAAGAAAAAGAGATTAGAAAGGTGTAGATCATCAAAGATAACTTTTGTTATGGTCCAGACTTGAGGCGTCGGTGGTCATTAAGTCACCATGCACCCATCTACAACTTATATTTCAACTTGTTGAAGAAATCATGAAAATTATCAGCTTGGCAGAATGACTATTAGTGGATAAATATCAGTTCCACAAATTTTGTGATGCGCCAAGGGTGAATAATCCCACAATGAGAAATGAGTAAAAATTTTAGTGACTTAAATAGGTAAGCTTAAAACTTAAGTGTAACTGACAATGGATTGATCCAAATAACACATTATGCTTGGTGGGTCCTATGGCTTGTACCACGCCAATGAGGCTGGGGGCCCAGGGCGTGACAAATTTCCTCCACTCTTTTCTGAGAACTGTTTTTTACCCACATCAAATATAATAAAATCTTTTCTGAGAATTGTTTTTTTACCCACATCAAATTTCGTTTATCTATAGTTTCTACTTAATTGCAAACTATTTATTCAAATAAACAATGCAATTGATAAACATCAGCATCAATTTTGCATCCACATAATAGAAAAAACATAAATTGTAATGCAAAATTAAAGCTATATGGACCTGTCACTGGCTCCAATTTAAACACAACATATTCACATGAGCAAATTTTAACCATACATTGAATCAAAGATATAAGGAATACCAAAAGGTATATTCTTGCAAGGTAACCATTTTACAAAAATAATAATATTTAAATAATATTGCAACAACTTCTTCAAGCATAATAGAAATCACATAATCTATACAAAAGAAACAAAGTAAAGAAAGTCATAAACTTAAGAATATTTTTCCATGTCAAAAATTATTTAAAGAATTAATTATAATTGTGAAAATCCCCTAACTTCCCTTTTCTATGCCTCAAAATAGAAAAGGATAACAATGACAGAATATTAACAAATGAATAATGAGGAAAATAAAAATATTAAGAAAGTTTACATTAGTTATTAATATGGAGAGATCACAAGGATAAGCAAAAACAAAGATTTAAGATGAATGAGATGTAGCATATAATGGTAAAGAGAGAAATATGATTACGCGTTGAATCTATTTTTCACCCATTGACATAAAAAAAGTCGATAATATGCTCAAATAAAAACCAATTTAGATTAGATGTCACGTTTTTAGAAAAAATTAAAAAAAAATGTTTACAAAAAGCATTCATTTCAAGAAATTATGTCATTAGTTAGACTTGGATCTTGCATCATCTACGACATGGTTCATGTATGCAAAAGGAACCTAAATGAGATAGGTTAAGCATCAATTTCAACATTGTAGATAAAAAGACTATATGATAGATGAGAAGTTAATCATGCAAAGGAGCATTTCAAATAAATGTAAGATTCTAGTAGAATAGTTTTTTAGTTGTAGAAAAATGGAGTAAAGGTTACATATGATGCTATCCATGACTGAATGTCATTATTTAAAGAAAACTTGGAGAATTGATTGAGCTAATCCCTAATCCACTTAGCAACCAATTTCAATATAACCATTGAGAGAGAAGAAACCACGGAAAAAACAGAGAGAGAGAGAGAGAGAGAGAGAGAGAGAGAGAGGGAGAGAGAGAGAGAGAGAGAGAGAGATGAGTTCCAATACTATATAGTACATGTTTGTGCTTTCGCATGTGCTCAATCAAAACTCTGTGCGCTTCAACATTTAGGTCTTTGTACACTTCAACACTTTGACAGCTGAATTTCAATAAAAGAAATGGAGAATATCAATTACAATATTACATGGTTGGCTTGTTAGTGAACATGTAAATTGGATATTGATGGAGAAAAGAATATGGCTCTGGCAAGTTTAAAAAACAATCAAATTCGATCGCTTTTGTCACCCCAAACCATTCCACCCGCTATACATGAACTAAAATGATCCCTTAACATATAATGATATATTAAGCCATAACTAAAACAACCTTTTGTAGTATAGAGAATTTAGAAATACATAAAAAGAAAAGGCTAAAAGTCATATTGTGGCATAGAATATTACACATGTCTCAATTCTCAGTCTTAAAGACATTAAAGATCAAGGCATGAACATTTATTCATGCGGGGAAGCAGTTTCCTTTTTGTAATAATTCGCCCGTTGGTTACACCAACAACGAGACCATTGTTTGCATAGAGAAGAAAAGTACAAATAATAACATTAACAATAGGTTTAACCATTCAATTTCAATACATTAACAATAGGTTTAACCATTCAATTTCAATCATGATTAGAAGTAATTAAATTTGAAATTAAAAAGAAAACAATTATGTGCCAAACAAATAATTGATTTACCTCCAAATTACCCATTTTTTCTACAATATCAATCTGCAGGATCTAATCCGCCTCTTCTTCTCCAAATTGCAAAATTTTCAAAATTGACAACATGTAAAAAAATCAAAATCAAAATCAAATATTTTTTAATCTAGATCAAAACAAAATAGATAAATAATTATATGAAGTAACTTTAGAATCCGAGAGACTTATATTGGACTTATATAGATTTAGTAACGTAATTGACAATAGTAGATTGATTTCAATTTATAGAAGGTCACGATCAGCGATTTGTAAAAAATACAGACACACATTATTAATCACCCAAACTCAAAATTTTCCAAGCTAGAGAGAGAGAGAGAGAGAGAGAGAGAGAGAGAGAGAGTCTTATATTTATTTCTTACCTCAAGAGGAAAATGTCAAAAGCTGCAGCCAATAGCGTGAAGCCTCTATGCTCCACATGCTTTGTTCAAGATCAATGTGTGCCGAAAAATTGTATATGAAATAAGAAATGACATTATATAATAGGAATTTCAAAAAAATATCAAATTGAAGAGGTTTGAATAAGATTGATAATTAAATGAATGGTTAGGAGGATACTGGAGATGTCAAATGCGGAGAGACATTTCAGGCGGTGGATCCCATGAGTTGCTCACATCAGGTTGTCACGGATGTCGTCAACATCGGCTTAGGGATTGGAGGCTCTATAGGTGGGGCTGATGGGGAGCTAAAAAGATGAAGAGGGAAGTAAGCGAGGGGAGGCTGCCACCACTGGATGAGTAGCAATAAGATTGGAAAGATAGAGAAGAAAGGAAGAAAGAAGATTTTACTGCTTTGCTTTGGGAATTTGAAAATAGAGGTATTGGGGAAAAAAGTTGCTTTAAATTGATATGGGAGAACACGATGAGTCATTTAGTCCTGGGAAAACAATGAGGCATAACTTAAAGCTTAGTGGTGCAAATATAAATTCATTAAGGACCTATGTTGCAAAACTTTACACAAAATTACTTGAAAAGATGACACATGGCTAAAAATGATTTTGAAAAAGATATTTTATATAATTAAGAGATTTAATAGAAGATATAGATTTTATATAATGAAGAAAGGGTATAAATACACTAAACTACTCACGCCACAATGATTATGCGAGTCCCCACAAATTATAATCGAAAATATTCCTGCCTAGTCACTTTCAAAATTTTGAACCAAACACCCTAGGATTGTTTTTTAAAGAATAAAAAGTTATTAGCTCACATTAATGCCCAATTCAAAGATGAAGTAATGGATTAAACATGAATTATGGGTTAATTTTATCAAATGGTTGTCATATTCAAAAAAAAAAAAAAGTTCGGGGTGTGGAACGAATTACCCAAATGTCAAGGGGGTTTGTAAAATTAACGCTTGTTACAGTTCCATATTTAGGCCGGACAAATTTTCAAAACCACCCATTTTTGGATTTTATTTGTAAAAAACGACCCCTTTTGAAAATAATTACAAAAACCGACCTGTTTTCAGCCCAGCGCTGAAAACATGTCGGTTTTTGTAAAAAATTCTCCGAAACATCACGGGAGTTCAACTCCCGTGAAGTTTATCGAGAAATTAAACCAACTCATCGAAAGTGCACGATTTTGTTATGAACAACGGTCTCGTCGTGCCTCCTTCATAAACGTGCATATTATTTTCGAGGTAATTAATCTTCCCATCATAAGAACAGAGAATTACAATTCGATCGTTCATCGTTACCTCTGAAGAGTGAAAAATTCAAGATCAATATTACACGAAAAGCCAAATAAATACACAAAATTATTTGATTTTTCTTCACAAAATTCGTAAATAATCCACAACATTATTGATAATTTCCCCTCTAATTTCACAAAATTATTGATAATTTCCCCACTAATTCCACAAAAATTCTTCATAATTTCCAAACTAATTCTTCATAAATTTCACAAAATTATTGATAATTTCCCCTCTAATTTTCACATTTATTGATAATTTTCCCTCTACTTTTCACATTTCTTCACAAAATTCGTAAATAATTCACAATTAAATTCTAAAATCTAGATTTTTATATGAAATCACAATCAAATAGTAAGAGTATACAAAAATTAGAGAGTATAGATTTTTTTTGAAGAATTTACCTTTTTTTTGGATTATTTGACTTAGATCTGAGCTCTGACGGCGGCGGCGGTCGGAGGCTGGGGAGCCGGCGGTTGCAGTGCCAACTTCCAGAGAGCAGCTCTGGCGCTGCATCTTGGCCAAATCTTCACGGGAGTTGAACTCCCGTGAAGATTTAAGCACAAATTAAGCTTCACGGGAGTTCAACTCCCGTGAAGTTTAATTTCTCGATAAACTTCACGGGAGTTGAACTCCCGTGATGTTTCGGAGAATTTTTTACAAAAACCGACCTGTTTTCAGCGCTGGGCTGAAAATAGGTCGGTTTTTGTAATTATTTTCAAAAAAGGGTTGTTTTTTGCAAATAAAATCCTAAAAGGGGTGGTTTTGAAAATTTGTCCTATTTAGGCCCTATTTCAATTTGGACAGTGATCTAGGAACCCAAATTAATTTAGCCCTCTCATCGCCGACCAGTTGCTTTCTCCTCTACGATCCCAGCCTTCTTCTGATCGAGATTCTCTCCCAAACCCTAACCGTAACCGAGCGATCATGAGCTTGGAGCCCTTCAATAGGTAAATATTCTCTAATCAAAATCATTGCTTTCGATTTCGATCTCATTATAGCTTGAGAAATCTAGGGTTCTCTCTTTGTTGCAGGCTTGTGAGGCTCGCTGCTCGAGCATTCTATGACGACATCACATTGAAGGGCGATAACCAGCAAAAGGTGGGGAGAGGGGATAACAGAGGGATGGCTGTGGTCGTCCTCGATGCTCTCACTAGGTAAAGTTTCAATATTGATTTAATTATTTTTTGTTTACTATTTCATGAAGGTACAAAATCGGTTTTTTGGCTGAAAAGTTTGCTGATAGTTGCGATCTTTAGTCTGAAATATAGCGGAATTTAGATTTTGTCTGAGTTAATTTTGGGGGATTCCAGCTTAAATATAAGTTGATGTGTATGATAATGAGATAGTCCTTGGAGTTGTTTCCTAATTGTTTGCAAGCTTATTTACATTTATTGTGAAGTATGCTTGATTGAGTCAGTCAAACTGGAGCCCCTTCATAGAGTAGAAATGTAGGCAATCCAGTGTTAGATATGGTGAGAGGGAGGAATTTTTTGTTTGATTTCACAGGGATTTGTAAAGTTAGTCTAAGATCATTTGGATGGTGCATCCAGACAATGTATTACCCACTTGAAAAATCTGAATTATACTAAATTCAGAATGCATTGAATTGTTCCCACTTTCCACCATGTTTGGTTCAAAAATGAAAATGATGATGAAACATTATTTTACCTTAATTTTGCAGATATGTTGCTACTTTGAATTGAAGAAATGTAGCAATCAAACTTAATGTGTGCATTTTTTCGTGTAACAGAAAATATAGATAGACAGTGCTTAGTTGGTTATGTAAACACTTGAAATTGTGTTTGCAACTAACTTGACAGATATGTGCGTAATAGTGTCATGATCAGATGGTTGGCTGTTGCACGATAGCCATGGCGTTAATCAATAAGTTGAGAACACTGGTACTTGTCGAACTGAAGTCTCCAAGAATATCACATTCTTTTTATGTATCATTTGTGGGTTTACAACATACCTCATTTTGGTAAGGTTTTTCCTTTTGTAGTTGCACTTCAAATAGAAGAAAATTCTTTAAGGCCTCATTTGGCAGTCGGGAATCGGTGGGAATAGAATGCTCATTCTAACTTCTTATTCATGCATACCAAACATGACAACTTTTTTGAAGCTAGAATGCCCATTCCCAGTTCTCCTCCATTCCCACTTTTTGTGGGAATGAGCATCCCCTAAGTTGGCGGGGAATAATCATTCCCCCTTAAATGAGAATAAAAAAAATAAATACCAAGTATGCCATGATTTATTATTAATTACCATACCAAAATAAAATGATTTTTCATTAACAATTCATTTTCTAATTGCACCCAAACATTAGAATGGAAATCAACATTCCAATCCCACACTCATTTCATTTTGTTCCTTGCTTCATTCTATTATCACTTGATCTCATTCCGCGTAGTAAGCGAGGCATAACGTGAAGATGTGCATTTGTTAGAATATAAAAGTATATCTTCCAAATACTGTTGAAAAAAGCCCCGCTTTGCAAAGCGAAAGCGGTGCCACATTGCTCCGCTTTCATTAAAAGTGGCCAATGAAGCAGACATGATTTTTTCTCTCGAAAACATAGACGAAAGCTCGTAAAGGTGCTGTTAAGCGCTTAAAAATGTTAAAATGTTGTCAAGTGATTAAAAGCACTTTAAAAAAAAAGTACATGTTCATATTATACTCGACTAAAACTTGAACCAGACCCATTTTATTAAGTAAAACCCTTCGCTTCTCTCTCTCTCTCCCCTCTGCACTCGAGATGAAAATAAACCCTAACCCTAACTCCCGCCTCAATTGCCTCAATCGCCTCGTCCACTGCCTTTGGCAAGCATGTTGCCTTTCGGAACCAAATGCGCACCCAAATCCTTCTCCAACAAGCTTCGCCTTCACGACTTCACCATCACCATCACCAGATCATCTTCACTTAAGCTCATCATTAAAGCTTAACGTCACAATCTTCGATTGAAGTTCACCTTCATCTCCATCTCCAGTCGAAGCTCCTCTACCTACTTCTCCAGTCCAAATCTGCTTTTTTACTTGGCGCTTTTAGCCGTTTTTTGTCGCTAAAGCCCCAAAAAGCTTGAACAGTACCTCACTGCTTCGCTTTGCTTTCCACAACCTTGCTCCAGTCTTCACCATAGCTTCATATTTTCAGAGTTATGATGCAGTATAGGGGCTTTAAGATGGTCCTAGTGCCATCCAGGTTCAGATGAAATTGGTTGTATTTAAAAAAGAGGACTCGAATAAAGCACCATAATAAAACCTCCACGTTTTGACCGAAGGTAAAGGACACTAAACAGAGGAGTATTAGAATGTAAAAGTATATTTCTCAACTCTTGCTGCAACTTGAAAGTTTTGGTGGCGATATAGGGGCGTTAAGATGGGACTGAAGTTTTAGTCCAGTAGGACCACACTCAAGAGACTTAAAGACATGACTGTGCTAAAGCATGGGTTTCATGTCATAAAAAATGATGCTCAAGTGTGGGCCTCGCCTCATTACCTAAGTTTGATGTATTGCACAGGATTCACTGAAGTATACTGGAGCTATTTATTCTGTAGCCCTGACCTCGTTTGTCATCTACTTATGCCTTGCTTGTTAAGATTTCATTCTATGCTTGAATTTGCCTTGTGATTCTTTTTAGTGCAGTGACCTGCTATGATTGAGCCATATATCATTTATGTTTTCAAGCATTTTCTAGGCAAAAATCTCATTCTTGTAGCTTAGTACTTCAGGCGCCAATGGGTCAGGGAGGAAGACTTAGCCAAGGCTTTGAAGTTACACTCAAAACAACTTCGTCGTACTTTAAGATTTTTTGAAGAAGAGAAACTAGTCACAAGAGATCATCGGAAGGAGGTCAGTTATAAAGCATTCATTTGCATATACAGGTAGTTAATTATACATGCCAATTTCTTGCTCATTGAGATTTTTTTTGGATACAACGTCCTGTATAATTTTCTCTTCATGTTTCCTGGACACATTGGGGGTATCATTGTGGTTCACTCTCATGTTCTACCACTGGATGTTTCATGTTCACGTCATAATAAAGGAAATGACAAGGTCTACTTAAATGGCTAAATCAGAGAGACATTCTGCAATTTGGGCTCCCTTTATATCTTTCTGTGTTTAGTCATTTATTCTTCTTTGAGACAATAATATTCTGGAAGCATATTTGCAAATTGCAAATAAAGTTCGAACATTTAAATCGTGTTACTTTCTGTTCTATTATCTTTGGAGTTGCCGGGACTCTCATAAAAGCATGTTCTCAAGTACGTACACATTAGGTTTTCTTCTTTCAGTATAGCATTTAGATTTTAGTGTGCGATATACTCTTGAGGGTGCATTTGGAACAATGAAAATAATTATGACGCAACAATTTAACTTTGGATTCGACATGTCATGCTCTATATCATCATAAAAAATGCAGCATATAGAACAACTTAATAATCTGTCCAACAGTTGTCATAAAGCATCACTTTTGACTGCTCTACCTTTGTGAAGGGGATCAATTCAACACTAAGTCAAAAACTAGGTCTTGGGCGATGAACCCACAAGAGCGGAAAACCTTCCCAATAATAAATAAACTGAAATAAGCAACAGGATTCACCAAAGATATCATGAAGTGTGGGGAAAAAACAAAGGGGACAAATGTCAACAAAAGTGTGAATTTCAAGAATTAAAAGAAGGCGTATAAGTTATTTTTGTTTTTTTTCCTTTTTTTTGGGGGGGGGGGGGTACATCATTTCTCTTGTCGCTGCTTCTAATCAAGTGGACTTTTCTATCGGTTCTTGTCTTGATAGGGAGTACAAGCATTGGGTTAATGCTTTATTAGTCAGCTTTAACTTAGTATGCCTGATATGATCCGACACATTGGCAATAACTAAGTTACACTCACTGTACAAGTGGGCTTCAGTTCGAATTATGTAGAACCCTACTCTGGACTAGTTAATCATCAAGCTGATCTTTTACTTATGTTAACCACTCCACTTTATTAATTCTCAAACTGTTAAACAACATAACCTGACTTAAACTATATGAAAAAGACTTATACATGACACCTTATGGGAAGCAAACTAAGATTTATTGATTTTCTTACAGATTAAATTAAAAAAAAGGAGTTTTGTTTTTAAGGATTTTCACATGCTTGGGAAGATTAGGATTTTTTTTGTTTAAGATAGACGATAATGCATATAAAATCATTTTAACAAGATATCGAAATTGTGTTCGTACACCTCGGTTAGCATATATAAACGTTCAATATTTGGTGATTTCCTGCATTATTTTTTAAATTATGTCATGCTTTATCCCTTTAATTAGAAGAAATATTTAGTCCAATTCTGCAGCAGCTTACTGCATGATGCAAATATTTTACAAAGAATTTAGAGTTATCATAATTGTTACCAATTTTAGAATCTACTTTAGAAAATCTGTACATTTTGTTATTCTAATAAAAGCCAATGATACCTTTGATATGTTTTACCTGAGACGGTCGACACTTCCTACATACCTCTGAGTAACCAAAACTTGTTCCATGACGCAATATGGTCACTTTTCATTAAAAAAAATGAAGTTGGGAAAAAACAAAACGCGAGTGAGAAAAATCAGAAATGACTTTGATACGAGTTACTGAGTTACCCTGTCTAGAGGAAAGCTCTTGGTGGTGGGAATTCTGAGGACATTAAGGATACTAATGGTGTCACAAGAAGCAAATTCTATGGAACATTTTGGAGTTATTAACTAGTATATGTGTATTATTGTCTTTGAAGATATTCTGTCAGCCATTTCGTTTGAGTAATAGGTCTACATTAGTTCCTTTGAGATGCTCTTTGGCAGCTGCTTCACATGAGTATTTTTGCTTGATAGGCCATTATGAGACTTGTGCAATTTAGTAAAAATATTTCCATTTTAATCCTACTATTTCATCAAGTAATGTGGCAACTGCTGTTCAAATAGCTAGTTCACATGAACTTAGAGCATAAATCTTGTTTTGAATCCCAGAGGTTTGATCCTGAAAGAAAAAGTTGTTCGAGAGTCAAACTGTCATGTGGAATCTCATTATTGTTTGAACAGATATTGAGGATGAAGAATTTGGATGCTGAGAGTTGAGACAGTCCCCTTGATTGTATTGACCATCAAAGAGTTTTTTTAATTGTTACATTTGGAGATTTGATATAAAAATAATATGTGCAAAATGGATATTTTAATCTGGTTTTGAATCTTCTGTTGGTGTCCAGTGTAATAGTTCTCTTAATCAATTACCAACCATAGCGAGACCCGATGTGGGGCTGATATCCTTCTAGTTAACTTCTGGTAATTTTTCCTTGCCTGATCAGACCAGGTAGCCAATTGGTGTTGTGATGATATCTTTGTCACAAGCGCTTCCAATCTGGTGGAAATGTTATATTTTTACTTCTATTCTGAAATTAGTTTTCTCTTGCCATTCAAATGATAGAATTTTGCAACATTCCAGCTTTAATTATTTTCTTGTTTAAAGTTGTTTACTCATTTTTCAGAGCGCCAAAGGTGCAAAGGTATTCACTGCAGCAGTTGCTATTGCTGATGGTAAACAATTCACTAAAGAGGGTGAAGAGAAAATGAAAATGCATACCCATTCTTATTGCTGCTTGGATTATGCACAGGTCAGTTTCTTCATGTTATGGTATTAGCTGCTTTACTTATGTACTTCTTGAAGATGGTCTCGCTTCAAATCTTGTTATATGACGATTTTTGAGAATTTCTTGATAGCATTCAGGTTCTTCTGCTGTGATAAAGGAATAATCATGAGCTTATAACCAACCAAATTATATTATATAAATGAAAATTTCTTTTCTTGCACCTGGCATGCCTTGTGACATCAGTAGAGGAAAGATAGACTTTCATTTCTCAGGGAAAAAGGTTTTCTAAAAGCATATTTGTGAATTTTGATTCTTAATTAGTTCTTGTGTTCAATTTCTTTTCATGCATTGTTGACATGTAACAGTTTTTCACTTTTGGTGATTAAAAACTTGCAGTCCTCATTCCAGTAGACGTAAACTTAACTGCCGTAATTTCCAAAATTGCATATCATATTGTGAAGGAGATGGATGTAATGTGACTAGGGGAACTAACTGGTAATGAGGGTTAACAAATTGCACTGCTTATCTGTCTCCTTTTTAAAGTTTGTACTTGCAAATATTTAAACTACAAATGTTCATGAACTTGTGAGAATTTATGTGCTCAGATCCACAAATAATTATAATACCATCCAAAAACAGTCAACTAAACAAGAGTTGGTGAGCATTTAAGCCTCACTCAAGGAAGCATCAGGCATTTACTCTGGAGGGAGGAGGTGTTGGCACCATGAACAAAAGCAGAAAATGAGGGGGGAATAACTGCTAAATTAGGGTTGAAAAATTGCACTTCTTGTTTGGTTAAATGTCTTAAGTTTGTACTTGCAAGCAATCCACTTTGAAACCACATATGTTCATAAACATGTGAAAATCTATGGGCTCCGATTCACAAATTATTATGATACCATAAAAAAAGGTTAGTTTACTCGCAAGAAATGGCGTACGACAAACGTCCAAGCCTTGCCCGTGGAAGTACCTGGTGTTTACTGTAGAGGGA